AATGACAGAGACCTGTTATTTTCAGGATAAATCAGTTCACAACCTAAGTACCATGTTCTTGAAAATATTCTCTACATTACTAAATAATAGGGTTTACTATCATCATCTTGATCTTGCAAATGACTCTGCAAAGAAAAACCCATTGCAACCAGACAGAGGCTCATTCATTCCCATGCACTGAGTCCCAAAGTCCACTCTGTTCGTCTCTTTCCAAGCTTAAGACCACAGAGAGACCCACAAATGCTTCATTATAGTCCTCATCATATCATGAACTATGAAAACTGAAAAAACATGTAAAATTCACTGGATCGTTACAACTTCTGCTCTTCCTTTGCTTTTTTTTAGTTCCTTTCCTTTTCCATTTCAGCCCAGAAGTCTAGTCAGTCTCTTTTGGCTTACTCTCAGCTTTGCCTTCTCATTCTGTGCTGCTGCCTTGTGGCTACCAGAGGAGATGTATTTCTGTTTAAAGACAACTTCTATTTAAGAAAAAAAAGGTGGAGCCAATTCTAGCTGTCTTAAATTTTCTAAAAGCACAGTGTCATTTCAAAACCCTTGTTCTCAGTTACATTTGAGTTGACAGTGTCCCTTTTTCAGGAAAAAAATTTCTTTGCAGCAATACTAATTTCTTTCCACATGCCATTTTAGCCTGAGCGCAGTTTTGACTCAAAACAATACTGAAAGATAATGGTTATGTAAAAACCCACAAAAATATGTTAATAATAAACAAGCCAAAAGACATATAAAACAAAAAGCCAAACACTGGATGCAAGAGATAGAAATCACATTTTTTCCATAAAATATAATTTCAGTGCAAAAGTCTCTGCTAGTAGGCATGCCAGTCTGCAAAATAAACCCAGCGTTCTGATTAAACACATAGCCTATTTCCACATGAGGTTGTGAACAATGTATGTTAATGCGTTTCTGATGCAGAAACATCATCTCTGCTCTGTGAGAGATGCAGACATAAGCAGTCTGTGCTCTTCTTTCCATGGACAGCACTACTAAATAAAGGGGACAGCAAAGAGTTAAAGTCTCCTCTCTGCAGAGGCCTTCCTCACTTGAGTAGCGTAGAGGCTTTTTGTTTCCTGTCGCGTAGGGGTGACATGAATTCACAATACTTGATTCATAGTGCAGTGCGGATCTAAAGAACAGAGGTCAGACAGGTTGAAGTTCCAGTAATTTGCACAATCTAGCATGTTGGGACTCACAGGGTTGTTTAACAACTGGAGTCCCAAACGGCCTTTGTGCTTGGGGGACAGTGATAATGCACTGGGTAGACAAGGCTAATGCAGTTTCAAAAGTACATTTCTATTTAGCTTCTCCTGCAAATCACATTATGATTTTGCTCAGAACTTTAGAAGGACACGGTCATCTATTTAATTTCTGTTAAAAGCAGCTTCCCTCAAAAGGAAGCCTCCCTCAAAACAAGCACCGCGGTGCTGAACCTTAACTGGGCCAAAAAACTCTTCTGTTGCTGCGAGTGGCACCTTGCTATGTGAGGCGACCTCAGGGACATGACTGCACAGCCTTCCACCCGAAAACCACGTCTGGTACGGTAGAAATGCACTTACAGGTCCTGCTAGATAAGTGTTCTTGCTGATCAGAGAATGCAACACTTGCAATGGGAAAGATTAACGGAAAGCACCATGTGAAAATACTTCTGAGCCATTTGCAAATTACAGGAGAAAACTACGTAAGCCAGATGTGGAGGGGAAACTATTGAAGGGTCTCGAGATGCTCATTACTCTATGTGAAATCATCTCACTTGAAAACTATCCAGCTCCTATTGTCTTGTTTAATTCCTCGGATCAAAACTAGTCACATGAATTCTTCCACAGAGCCATGCAAACATTTATCTTCTTAACAGTGAGCAAGGACTCACCCATCTAATATTCAGCTAAATTTAATCTAAACCCTGCCCCCTGCATGCGTCTTAAACCAACAAAACTATGAGCAGACCATGAACCAAAATGCACTTGTACTCTCTCAAGAGGCTGCAAGTAACCCTGTCATTTATTATTTGTAAAATATCGTAATATAGCTTGGTGCTTTTCAAATAAATAGAAGTCAATTGTTCTCTGCTTGACAAGCCTAAAAGCCTGGTTCTACGGCTCTTCAAAGAGATGTCACACACTGGTAAATCTTACTAAGCAGACAGGTTACAGAATCAGATCCTAAAGTATTTATCTCAGAGGTCACAGATTACAGCAACAATAGGCTATGGTGAAGTTGACTATTACACACACATCTTGTTAATTAGTTCTTTTTTTATTTTTTCAATTTTAGTATACTAAACTGTAGAGGCACTATCCAAACAAATTAAAAAGGAATTTGCAAGAGGTATTTGCAAAGCTGAGCATACCTCATAGTTTTTCATCTCCGTGCTGCGAATTTGGACTGGGTTAGCACCTTTGGCCATTCAATTCTGAAGGTTATTATTTTATACTACTGAATTTGAGTATTCATTAAAAACAAACATGCAAGAAGAATTTTCAAGATTCAGTCTGAAGTAGCCAGATAAGATTGACTATTCATGGATTAACTATCTAGTTAGAGAAATACTGCCATTCAGGACCAGAGTGTCTGAAACCTCCCTCAAAGGGATTACATCCCTTTAAAAATCTGGGTCTTGATGCCTTTAAGGGAAAATTTTACTGCACTATAAGTTTCTGCAGCTTCTTAAAGGCAGCGAGATTTTGGATTCATCTAATCTCTGAAATTTGCTCCCCAATTGGATTGTATGCCATTTTTGAATGCAGGCCCTCTAGTTTGACTGATACAATTATGGAGCTCAGCTATCTCCAGTAAAATGTTTTAACGTAGCTCTGTTATTAAAGAAGAAAGTAGAGAGAAGACACATGTAATCATAAAAAGATTGAGAAGGCTAATTTCCTGGAGTTTATTTCCTTTTTGTAACAAATATTTACTGTCAAATGTTTATTACTTTTACATTTGGATTTTTTAATACTTTATTGAATTAAAAATACCACATTACCATTGGCTAAAAGAGGAGACAGCTCTATTTGCCAATAATTTCTACAGCTAATGCCAATGACTAGTGCCAATTTTTTTTTTTGGTTCATATTTTTGTAGACAGCTTTGAGACTTACAATACAAGCATTCTGCAGATGAGGCATGGGAAATACAAAGGTGAAAAGAACAAAAACTTCAAAGGTTTAAAAAGCAAAGCTGATCACTTCCTACAAATAATTTAATTTCATTACCTTCGATTTCCAATTCAGAGCACCATAACTGGATGCATATATTAAATTAATGGCATGTGACATTACCGACACACAGATTTCAGTGTGACTATTAACTCCAAAGCACAATTGTGCTTGCAACTTGCTTTTAGTCTGCTGAAGTCTACAAGGCTTTTCATTAGAAAGGATTCTAAAGTCCTTCCAAATTCTCTTTTCCTTTGGGAAACACTGAGGGAATGATGGAGGGAAAGAACATTGTGCTCTAAAGATGTCAAATAAGACGACACAACTGTCTGTGTCTAACAGAAAAGAACAGTGCCTGTTGCTTTGGTATCCTGCCAAACAACTTCTCCCTGAAGCAACTCCAGACTGTACTACTGCACATGCCATTTCTGCATGAGAAATGCTGACCACCTACCAGTGAGCTGACATTCTCATTAGGCACTGGACAAATATAAAATACCTATTCCAACACTGGGCGAGCAGGGGGACACCCACACAAATGGAAGAACCTGAACCTTCCTGAGTAGACCTTCGGTTTTCTTTACAGACCTATATTCTAACACTTTGCTTCCAGTACAGTAGTCCTGTTGGTCTGCATCTTCTTGATGGATCTCAAAAATACAATCTACCTAGATTCTTTTCTTACTGTTTTCATGTTTTATATTGTTAGCTTCCAAATTCAAAAAAAAAAAAAATAAAACAGCAAACGTGAAACTAGGAGTATGTTCCCAGGTCTTGCATGTGTTCAACAGTTTAAGTCATTTGGCACTTAGACACCTCAGTTACCACTGATTATTGTTTTCTTTGTTATAATTGATTTACGATCCCAAGATTGTTCAGAACGGGACTAAGGGACAACTTACAAAATACAAGTGGCTAGTTAATGACAGCCAGAAACCTGACTACCCTACGCCTGGTCTATCTAGGACAGAACGCCACCAGCTGGTGCTGGTGATAGGACACAGTGCTTCATGTCTTTCTTCTGGACAACTCCCAGTGCACAGTGGAAGTGAGACTTCCTCCAATCCCTATTTAAAACGTGAGGCAGACAAGCTCTGATAAGAACACAATAATATCTAATTACATGCAAGTCTTCAGGAAGAGTTTAGGTGCCTAAATTCCAGAGAACAAGTCAGGCAGCCCAGTCGCAAATGTTACCTAGTTCTAGAGTCACCAAAAATCAGTACTTCCATTTTGTCAGCCAAGCACATAATACGAGCCTTTGCACCCAAAGCCTGACTAAGCATCATGTTACTCAGAAGACACATAGGAAGGGGCCCAATTCTGCACAGATCTCCAAGTGGCAAACAGTCAATAACATTTCCTTGGCAAACAGTTCGAGTCAGCTCCTAACAACCCTGTAATGTTCTGGAGGTGCTGTGTGCTGAAGAGTCCAGACAGTCATCTAAACTGAGCCTGTGGAAGGAAGCAGGCCCTCTTGTGAGAAGAGACTTTCATCTCAGCTGAACAAGGAACACAATCTCTACTAAGTACTTTGTCACAACAGTGTAAAAAGGGAACTGTGCCTGAATTAAGACTGAGTGCAAACAGAAAAATTTCTTCCAGGTGATTAACATGACCAGTGTTTGGGGCAGGAGAGGGACTGCAGAAATATGTGCTGTTGACATGAAGGTCAGTGGGACTGACTATAAAGCTCATAGCAGCAGTACTAAACATGCAGAAAATCCCATTAACTAGTTCTGAGGAAGGTATGGCTTCCTTCTATTCCTAAATGCTTGACAGCTTTAGCTTCACTTCCCATCTCATTTCCAGGTGCCCCCCATGAGTTCTTACCTCCATATTCTTACAGAATGTAGCATTGGTCCCAAAGAGGATCTGGCACTGTTCATCTGCGCTGTAGTGCATTCCCGGCAGCTTGTGAGGGAGCCGCACCGCGTACTGGCTTCGGGGGTCTGTTACCAGCAAACAGGTGCTGACCTTGGACCTGCACAGTGCAAGAATTAAACGTGCCTTTAAGGGAAAACACCTTTGAACTGGAGTGTTAGATCACTGCTGTACAGAGGCTGACACTGTGTAAAATAGTGGTGATTTTCACAGTATTTTCCTGCAAGCCTTCTGAATTGTTGAAAACTATGGATAGAAGGGTCCTTGGGAACTCCCCCCTGCCCCACGGCCCGGAGGCAGAAACAACTATACTCACATCACTCTGGGTAAACATTTGTCTAACCTACTCTTAAAAATCTGACGGAGACTCTATCCTGCCCCCAAGCAATCTATCCCAATTGCTTCACTAGCCTTATAATAGCTAGAAAGTCTTCCCTCTTGTCTCATCTGAATCCTCCTGGCTGAATTTAAGCCCTTAGCTTCTTTTCTTATCCATTACAGATACAGAGGAAAGATTTTGCTTTTGTCTTTACAACAACCTTTTACAAATTGGGACATCACTATGACATCCTCCTCTGTCACACTGGGATCAGAGTGAGTTCAGATACAACTCCTTTTTCAACTTGGTGCCTGTAACGTAACCGTAATTTCCCATTTTCTTCCACTGTTTCCCCTCCACCCTCCCCCACCGCTAATCTCCAGCACCGGGAATTCTGAACCCTTGCTGAACCCATTTCTAGCAACAGAAGCACTGACCACTGCGCCGAACACTGTTTGTCAGTTTCTCTGTAGGTCTAAGACCACAAATACAGAGTTCAGACAATTCTAGTGCATGCTAAAGTATCTGAGTGTTAATAACAAGTGGGACAGAAATCCTTCTTGAACTGTTGAAGGGGATGAATTAAAGTTTGGATGCAGTGGGAAATAAGTTTATAGTGAATTGTTTAAGACCACCACTCACTGAGGAGCGAGGAAACACATCAGAATTAACTCCTCACAAAGTAAAGTTTCCATAGAATAAAAAGCATCTCCACAGCACAGCACAAAGCTGGCATCATCTTGCAACGGAGAGGATTTTTAAGGGCTCCTACACACAGATTTCTGTCATTGCAAACACAGAGGATATTTTTTTGTAAAATGAAGATAAAGTGGGAGTGTTTTTAAGAAGCTATCAATATCTTGACAACCGCATGTAATTCTTCGGCCTCTCTGGAAACCTTAGTTTCAAAGGGGCTACTGTAAAGGAGACAGATTCAATCTTGCACACCCTAATGACACATGCGCACACTTTTTTTTTTTTAAGGGAAATTACTTAGACTTTCTCTTTCAAGTAGCACCTTGGATTCTTGCCTAAGGATTTCTGGTACTCAGCACAATCCTTACTTTAGGAAGTTTTCAAGATCATCACGGCTGCACGAAGACCAGGAAAGGTCACTGGGGTTCCTGCCCTTCACCCATTCTCCAGACATAATATGAGATCTCCCTGCGCAGGACAGATGATCATCATCATGGCTCATTCCCATGCTGTTTGATTAAAACAGAACAAGACAAAAACAATCAAGTCATCCTGTGGGTTTCTCATTTCCTATTGCACTTAGTAATGACGCACACATCTCAGCAATTAACTAAAGAGAGAACAGGCTGCACAAATAATATAGAATCATTCACCTACTGCTCTGGGCACCTGTTGCACGAACAAACTACACTTTCCTTGAACTTTTCCACTGTCTTAATTGCACAAGGGTTTTAGTATTTGTTTTACTTTTTTATACATATTCACTCTCTGCGCTGGTGGCAAACATTTTGCCTCAAGGATCTGAGAAAAATATCAGCACAGACTTTGTGAAGTGGTGTGAGAAATGACATGACATTACTCCTGTTACCAAAACAGAAGAGCTGGTAAGTACATCTGACGGAAATGTTGTGAATGGAAACTCAATATAGAAATACATAAATTTCTATGAAGTACATGAAACTTGTGTTTCGTATGGACTTTTCCTATTAGGAAATGTAACCATTTGAGGGTTCATGAAAAGTGAACCTGCAGAAGCAACATAGTGCAGCTGAAAGGTATGTGCTAGAATATCAAAGGTAGTATTTATGGTAAATTTTGAATCGGTTTCCCAGATCTAGTGGAAATGGTCCACTATAACCACATTAAGAATGGTGAACAAATTAATACTAGAGATGGGCCTGTTTTGTTGTTGTGTCAGCATAAATTATTATAATTTCACAAATATGACAAGGATTTCTCTAAATATGTAGTACTGTACAATTTCGGACCTAACTTTGAAGTTGACCCTTCTTCAAGCAAGGCGTTTGGATCAGGCAATCACCAATGGCCCTTCCAACCTAAATTATGCTGTGACTCTGTAACAGCAATGCTCAGCTGGGAGCCTGAGGCAGAATCAAGTCCCCATTTTTGCAAGCACTGAACAAACAAGTGCCAAGGCTGCCCCACGCCAGGCTCAGCAAGAAGAGAATGTGACGTACTCAGCTAAACAAGCCATCTAAACAAACAGTACCAATTGTGTAGTATAAATACAGACTGAGGAATTCAAATATATTCAGTAAGACATCAAAAAGGTTTCAAAAGTAGAAAAATATTACTTCAACCTCCATTCACCTGCCCACTCAGGACTCTTGTATATACATTTGTGGAGTTTCTACTGTTGGGCTGCTACTACAAATCACTCTTAAAAGGAGCCTCTTTCTTTCTGTGGATACTAAAGGAAGGTGAGACTTCTCTGCTGAAGGTAAGCCTTTCTGCACAGCCTCCGTGGCGACAAGGAAGGGATAAATGATGTGCCCGAGCTCACCTGCTTCAGGTGTCCGGCCTCCTGACTGACAGTCCTACGCGTAGCCCTTCACATCATGCTGCCCAGCAGCAAAAAAGAGCTACGGAGTTTCCATCCTACTGATCATTAAAACCATTTCTAAAATTTGTACAGAATAATAACATTTTGAAAAGTTAACATCCTTCCTTCGATTCCAGCATGAAATGGAAAATGGCTTTCAAACAAAATGTGCCTCATATGGCTGGTGTCACTTTCTAGCAAAACAATTGCCATCACCACTGGGTTGAAGACTGCTACAAAACCTAAAATTTTGGATTAACAGCAACTCACTAAGTCTCCAGCTGGCTGGATTGAGCAAGCCAAGAGTAGTCTCTTTAAATATAGTGTTGGACTGTTTAATACATACAATTTCTCTACAAATCAGAGGCTCCTGTATGCTTTCTGATTACGCTCCTGGCTTTGCTTTTCTCCAGTTTTGGGCCTCAACTGTTCAAAGCCTAAACACAACATGCACTTCTAGTCGCGATGAACCAAAACCCGCTTCAGCAGCTTGATAATTATGGCTTAGATTACACCACCATGTATCCCATTTTTAGCTTAAAGTGAAGATTAAATAGTAGAGTCTATTATTTTAGATTCATCTCCAGGGATATTATTATTTCTAGCAAAACTACACTTAACCTAACTTTTAGACTCAGAACTTCACAGTTATCCTTGTTTTTAAACTTTTGTGGGTTTTGAAGGCAGGAGAAACATTAACATGAAGCATATTTTGTTTGATGCATGCAGGAATAACTTAACAGTCTATCAGTAACTCTGACTTCAAAACACTCAGCAAAGAGTGAAACTCCTGCTCCACTGAAGTGAATGGGAGTTTTGCCATTAACTTCAATGGAACCTGAATTTCACTCCCAATATTTTACCCATGTTGTTTCTACACAAAGAGAAAACTCTTCACACATGCTACAAAGAAAGCTCCTGCAGTATGCCTCCAATGCAAATAATCCCATCTAAAGTTCATATTCCTAAAAGTCAGGAAAGGAAGAGCTAAGCACTGCATAACAAGGCAGGTAAAGCTCACTGGAAATCTCCCAGAGGAATGCTTGTCTGTCAGAAAATGCCAATCTAGAAGGCTTGCAGGAATGTAGCAAGCATGTTAAATTTTCTAACAGAATCAGGCAGCTTTCCAACCTGCCCACCTTGTGTCAGCCACAGCGCTCAGACCCTAGAAGCCCCTCTGAGTCATGGCTCAGGCGTAGGTCCTTCAGGTTTCTAGTGGGTTTGAGCTCTCGTGGCATAGCACTAGCCAACATGGGCTCAGGTGCTGACCACTTCCTGAACGGCCTTCCAGCTGGCATCTCAGGAACCTCAGCCATCCCACCTGAAAAAGGTGAAAATAAAACAACTGCCTGACTTTCCAAAGTGGTTTTGGCTCTCTGACTTTGTTTTCCAGAAAACACTAGTGTTTGCCCTAGAGTCCCTTAAACAAAAAGTGCATTAGCTTTCTGATTAACTTTATTAATTTATTCTTTGTTAAACTTGTTGAAAGTGGGATTTTTTTTGTCACTAACCATTACCAATTAGTACGCTCCTATCCTTAGTTTTATTTTAAACCTGACCTCATGCAAGATGTCTGTCTGGGAGAACTGCTGAGGATAAAATTCATTACTCTCAGTTTTGATTTCTACAGGGATGCTTGAGACAGAACACAATCTCTATGGAGACTGAGTTAAAACCCACATCTCAAGAGTTATTTACTTATTTACAGGCGGCTTCTGAGATTCTTTCAATTTTTACATGTGTGGAAATATACAACTTTCTGAAGAATTCCTGATCTTTGAACAGAAATCCTTTAAGAAGTTGTAAGTGTGGAGGAATTGAGCCTGAGCTATTTGCATCAAGTGGTAAAGGAGCTCTACTGAAGCCAAAAGAGCTATGCCAGTTTATATTACCTTGCTTGGGATCTGGCCTCAAGGTACGCAGGCAACCTCCACTGGCCTTTCAATGATGAGTTTCTAGCAGAGTGAAGCCAACACCACCTTTGGAGCCTGCTTTAATTGGCTGTGCAGAACTTTTCCCAGCATCTACTTTACCTTACAATGACTCACTTGAGGAACGGATTAAATGACCTGCAGGACTAAGGCATACCCAAGCATGCTAACACATTCTTTTCTGAAGTTCAAGGGTCCCCAGCTACATCAAAGGGAATTTTTTTTCCTAAACATATAGTAAATGTAATGCCATGCTGATTCTTTTCACTAATGAACAGTCCCCTCCCTCTTTACCAGAAATAAATCAGGCACAGCATTATGTGTTTGTAATAAACAGCAGTGTAAGCGCTGATTCAGTACTCTGCATTTGCTTTGTTAATTTGTTAATTTGTTTTTTGTTGCATTTGCTTTGTTTATCTAATCTTACTTGCTATTCAGAATTCACACGGAATTAGAAGCAGTTAATCAGTCCCTTGAAATATTCTGCCATGGAAAAGAGTTCTCTTCCTATAAGAACAGACCTTGAAATAAGAGCTGGTTAAGAACTGCTCTTAGATTAGAAGTAGAAATGTTAAAATGGCACCACATTACCCTGCAGACCCACAGCCTTCTGCGCTCTCAGAGTTGCTCCTATCACAAGCAGCAAACGCTTGATGCACGTTACCCTTAATACAGCAAAGCCAGTTGCAGCCATTACAAATGAGCACGACTTGATTTCACTTAGTGCTGTTACTACCCCAGTTACTAACTCCACTGTATGTACAGAGTGAATTTCAGCCTTTGGCTCCTCCCGTGTTCTCCTCCTGAAGACAACAAGACTCCACAAAGGCAAGGAAGAACAGCTTGGGCTGTGAACTCTTAAAGACGGCCCCTTTATTCTAAGTTTATTCAGAGCGAGCACAACAGGACTCAAACTCCAGTTTCTCTTCTATTATAAATAATGTAATGGTTATCTGTTAAAGACACTAGGGTAGCATGGAAGGAGTGCTGTAGCAGAATTATTATTGCTCAAGCATATGTGAGTCCAGAAGCAAGCTGACTGTCCCACCAGTTTGACTTTCTGACTGTCGACATAATCACAGCAAGGCAAATTTTATCTGGAGTCCCAGGGAGACAAAGACAACAGATCTCTTTGATGCTGTTCTTCATAGAATGACACTTCAATGTAGCATTGCTATGAATAAAAAATAGTATGCAATGTCTCTGAAGTCTGTGCTCCTTTCCAGGACACTATTCTCTGCTAGAGGCTGCACAGTAATCAGAACTGGGTCACGACGCCAGAACTGCACTCTGGGCCTGAGCCGTTCAACTTTTTGGGTAACCCTTTTAAGCTAAATGCAATTAACAGCTGTTTGTGTTCCCACAGCAGTACTAAATAAATGCACTTGCTTTATTTGTTTCCGTCATTAGCAAAGCTTCTCCTTTAGACAGTTAATGTAACTAAACTGCTCTGTTTACCCTTGGTGCATTTTCCACTGTTTCCTGTTATTCTTTAAAAGCCTGAGCCAAAGCCCACCAAAGCCTGCGGAAAGCTTCCTACTGCCTTCAATGCACTGTGCATTGCACCTCCAAGTTCTTAAGGTCATGTACACAAATCTTCATCAGAACCGCTATGACTCTCAATAGGTCTCCTATTAAAAGCCCCCAATCTGAGTTTAAGGATAACGCCAAGGGCCGGGAGAAACTGATTTAAGAGATGCTTTAAATTTTTTTCAACAGCTGCAACTTTGTAGCT